GTCGGTTGAGCATCTGACCTCCGCTCAGGTCATGATCTCATGGTCCTCGAGTTCGAGCCCCACGTTGGGCTCTGTGCTGACAGCTTGGAGCCTGGAGCCTGCTTCACATTCTGTGTCTCCCTCTCTCTAACCCTCCCCATCCATGCTCTGTCTCTGTCTCAAAAATAAATAAACATTTAAAAAAAAAAAAGAAAGCTTTCTTCTGGTTTGTTTCTTGGAGTTTTATTTTTTCCTTTGAGACAGAGAGAGCGCAAGCTCACAAGCAGCAGAAGGGCAGAGGGAGAGAGAATCTCAAGCAGGCTCTGCACAGCCAGTGTGGAGCCTGACTTGGGGCTTAAACTCAGAAACCATGAGATCATGACCTGAGCCGAAATCAAAAGGTGGACGCTTAATCAACTGAGCCACTCGCTTGCCCCAGCTTTCTTCTGTTTTGTAAGTAGTTTATCTGAATTCATTAACAGCTGATGAAAAGGATACTTACCAAGAACAGCTTTGTCCAGATTAATGTAAGTGAAAGCCTTTAAATGCAAGGAGGAAAGGTATCCCTAGAAGAGATGGAAAAATACTAAATGGACTAATATGTATTAACCTGTCACATAGAGTAGCTATTATTAGGGACTTCTTTTTAAATTTAGAGTCTATTAACACTAAATATACAAAGGCAAAAATGATATACAGTTGACTTCCCTAACGTGGGAGGTTAGGGATGATGACCACCCCCACTATGCACTTGAAAATCCACATGTAACTTCTGAACTCCTGAAAACTGTCCTACTAATAGCTTACTGTTGACCATAAGCCTTACTAATAACATAAATAGATAACACATATTTTGTATATGTATTACATATTGTACTTACAATAAAGTAACCTAGAGAAAAGAAAATGTTAAAAAAATCATAAGAGAAAATGCATTTATTTTATTTTATTTTTTTTCAACGTTTTTTATTTATTTTTGGGACAGAGAGAGACAGAGCATGAACGGGGGAGGGGCAGAGAGAGAGGGAGACACAGAATCGGAAACAGGCTCCAGGCTCTGAGCCATCAGCCCAGAGCCCGATGCGGGGCTCGAACTCACAGACCGCGAGATCGTGACCTGGTTGAAGTCGGACGCTTAACCGACTGCGCCACCCAGGCGCCCAAGAAAATGCATTTAGAGGGCCATTACTATACTTTTTTAAAGGACTAGTCTGCATTTATTAAAAAAAAAAAAATCCACTATAAGTGGACCTGCACAGTTCAAACCTGTCTTGTTCAGGATCAACTGTAATCAAATCTAAAAGTCTGGTTTCTGGAGGACAAATGAAGCCAAGGGCAAGTTCAGGTGCCCATTCTGGGTATGAGTGTTAACAAATAATACCTCTAGCCATTCAGTGGCACCAACAGCTCCGAAGTCTCCAGCACTCCAGCTGGCAAAGACAATGCTTCTGCTGGGTTTAAAGCCACCTAAAAGATAGCAAAAAAGTTAATTTTATCTTGGGAAAGGTTATAGGTAGGCAACTGACTTCAGAGGAAATCAGAAATTTCTAACTCAAGACAGCAGATTCAAAAATATTTCTTTCCCTTTTGAAGCCCCAGGTGAAAGAACAAAAAAAAAAAAAAAAAAAAAAAAAAAAAATAAGAATAAATTTTAAAGGTAATCTACAAAAAAAGAAGAAGAGAACATTTGCAAATAAGATTTCAAACACATAGTAGAAACCAGTTTTTACAGGAAGTCACTTTTGTTTCAACTCCATTCTTTGAGCCCCCCTAAAATTCTGCACCAAGAGATACTTGAAATCGCAGTGTAACTACAATGTGTCTCTTCTCTGAAAAGAATCTGCATAGAAGTCAGTCACTGAAAACATAGGGTTACTTTACAATTGTTACCAAACAGAGTAAATACTTACAAATTTAAGTTATGAAAAAGTTTACAGAGAAATTACATTAATGACAGCTCCCCTCCAAATCTCCCCTTTTCCTGGGTATGCATTTTTCTGTATTATGTACTTTTCCACAAAAGTTAATAAGCACTGCAACTTACCCACGGCCCAAGGATTCAAGAATGTGATAGGGGTTTGTATGTGTGTGTGGGTGTGTGTAGAGGAGTGGCAAATACCAAGGGAGAAAGGCTTGAAAGTGTTTATATATTATAAATATATAAAAACATATCCAGTATTATGTCTATAAACATAACACATCAAGTTACATATTATAATTTTATACCAAAATTATAGAAACTTAGTACAGAGGTCTGCCACTGCTTGCTTTAAAATAGATTTCTTGGGGCGCCTGGGTGGCGCAGTCGGTTAAGCATCCGACTTCAGCCAGGTCATGATCTCGGGGTCCGTGAGTTCGAGCCCCACGTCAGGCTCTGGGCTGATGGCTCAGAGCCTGGAGCCTGTTTCCGATTCTGTGTCTCCCTCTCTCTCTGTCCCTCCCCCGTTCATGCTCTGTCTCTCTCTGTCCCAAAAATAAATAAACGTTGAAGAAAAAAAAAAATTAAAAAAAAATAATAAAATAAAATAGATTTCTTAGGGACCACGCTAGATTAGCCATGTCATTCTGAATATGTCAGACTAAGAGCTAGGGTCCAGTACAACACTTTTTGAGTGTCTCATCGAAGTTGATTCCCAGTGCAAAGACACTGCATGGAAAGCTGTTTCAAAGTCAAAGGCAGATCCAACAAAAATGATCTGCTTTTGTGCTCAAACTCAGAGTCCAGCACAAGTGAACCACAATAATATGGGCCAAAGTGAGAAAGCATATAGTATTTAGAACTATATATAGCAAATAGATATTCAAGGGTCCTCACAATTTGTACTCTACCTTTTAAGACCATATCAGAGAGTATCCGTGCAAGTTCCAAGAGGAGAGCTGTTCCTACGCTAGACTTTGCAGCTCCAGGACCCCAGGCATCCCTCTGAGCCCCTACTACAACATAGCGATCTTTAAAAAAAAAAAAAGAAAAGATAAATTACACAATCAGCTTTTAAACCGTTTTTAATACTGAGCTTTAAACTCTAGAATCAGCATGTTTGTAAGAAGGATAAAAATGCAATATATGCATTAAGGATAAGAGAACCTTTCTTCATAGCTGACTTAGGACTCTAGGAATTAAAAATTTACATGACAATACTAATCTCTTTTTCCTTGTTAGTATTACTCTTTTCCACACTACCAGTTATGTTTACTTATCGACTACTAATTTGTACTACTTAATTGTTTAATCAGCGACCAAGTCCAAGGGCTTTCCTTACTAAATGACATGACTCTTAGATTCTACTTAGATAGATTGTATTGACTACTTCTACTTAATTGGTTAATAAGCAACCAAAGTCCAAGGGCTTTCCTTACTAAATTACGTGACTATTAGATTCTACTTAAATAGATAGACTGCATATTTCAAGGACCAATCAATAAACCACAGCCCACATGCCCATTCATTATGTATTGGTTACAGCTGTTTTCATGCTACAACGTCAGCGTCAGCATAGTCAGCTAGTCAGAGTTAAATACGTAGTTGCAACAGAGACTGTATATCCTGCAAAGTGTTTATCTGCCCCCTTAAGAAGTAGTTTGCTTACTGATGACATATTCAATAACTTGAAAGAGATTCTCTAGTCACAGTGGTCAATTTTTGACAAATTAATTTCCTAGGGCCTTATTACCTCCCAATAAAACTGACACCTAAACAGTTCACTGTAGGACAGACCAGAGCACTCCACAAAACCAAGCCAAAGCCAGCCTTCCTGCACTCTCTCTTCTGGCCACATTCTTATGAACTAGGAAAACAGAAACAAACTAACAAACAAAAGAAAAAAAACAAAACAAAAAACCAAGGGTCTTTACCAGGTTCTTCAAAACCTTTAATAACTCCAAACACGTTAAAAATTCTTATCTCTTTCAGCACGTTGTTCACAGTGAGCTTCACATTCCAGATCCGTGAGGTTTCCAGCCTACAGGAGGAGTCTGTTTCCCAAGCAGAAGGACAGTCTCCTTCCATATTTCTAGAAGTAGAAAACAGACATTAGAGTTCTGATTATTATGGCTTCCCTCAGGTTTACAGAATCAATCTTCCTTACTCTCCAGTGAAGTTTTAGGCTAAGAGGACATATAAAGAAAACATATACAAAATTTACTCCCTGGTGGCTAACCATTTGTGTCTTACTCCGATCTGTAGGCAATCATCTGAAAATCATCAGTTATCTATCTCCTGGTTTAAACAATGTTTTAAAAAAATTTCTGTACCTATCCTCATCTGAAATGTGCCTTTCTGCCAGAGACACAGCTATCATTTACATGTAAGGTAGATACCAAGATGGACTCAGAATGAAGTTCTGACATAAAAACCCGTGAGTATATTCCCATGTTTCCTGACTCTCTACACTAACTAGTATACATTCTTTTTTTTTTTTTTTTAAATTTATTCTTGAGAGATAGAGACAGAACATGAGCAGGGGAGGGGCAGAGAGAGAGGAGGAGATGCAGAATCCGAAGCAGGCTCCAGGCTCTGAGCTGTCAGCACAGAGCCCGATGTGGGGCTCGAGCTCACGAACCGCGAGATCATAACCTGAGCTGAAGCCGGAACTTAACTGACTGAGCCACCCAGGCGCCCCTATACATTCTTATCATAATTATAAAAGAATATTTTCATGCTGCTGATAGTTACGTATCTTGCCCTGTCTAATTCCTCATGTTACCCAAACAATGACTGCTCTATTTACATAAATGTCAAAACATGATTACCCCACACTACACAAGGATAAGACAGGGAAGGGAGCTGGCTTCACAGGTTAGGGAAGACCTGTAGGTGGAGGTAAGAATGATCTGATTTGAAGTTTGGTATAAGTCAATAAAAAATCACCATTTTTAAAATGCTTTATGAGATGCCTGGGTGGCTCAGTAGATTAAGCGTCCGACTCTTGATCTCTGCTCAGGTCATCTTATTGTTTGTGGGATGGAGCCCTATGTAGGCCTCTACGCTAATAGCATGGAGCCCACCTGGGATTCTCTCTCTCCCTCTCTCTCTCTGCCCCTCCCCGTGCATGAGCACTACTCTAAATAAGTAAATAAATTAAAAAAAAAAATGCTCGTAGATAGCATGGTTAATAGTCACATGGTGTTACACATGTGTCCTTACATGTAAATGCTCTTCATTTGAAATCAGTCACCCTGCTAAGTAGATTATATTTTAGCTATCCAATTAAGTGAAAGAAACATGATCAGTGGGGTTAGAGTAACTTGTTCTACATCACACAGAAAATCTAAGTGTCTGAGACCAGATCTACATTCTATACCAATACCAGGTGGGAAGTATGTCTAGATCAAGATAAAAACTAATGACATGTACTCTAATCAGACGGGGTTCTATTTTTAAAGACAGATACTAATACATTAGGGAGGATATCCAGGACTAATCATGACTGTAAAGCATCTGGAAACTGTCATGAGAACTGAAGATATTCCATTATAGACAAGAAAACTTGAACTGTTGTTGCTAAGAAGAAAATCTAGAACTAATTGGTGTTACAGGGAATAAGATTTCAGTTCAACATGAATTCTAACAGCTCTTTTCCAATAACTGAATAGGTTGCCAAGGGCAACAAAGTGCTTTACCTCAGGAAGTCCTCAAGGAGAAGCTATGCCAGGAATAGTACACAAGGAATTCACTGGGTAAATTGAACAAGGACTTGCAGAGTTTGTAAATCCAATGTCTAATTATTAATATCACTTTATGGAGGAAAAACTTCATGTTTATCTACACCAGCGTAAGAGCTATCCACCCCACGAGATGCCAAATATGGAAAACTACAGCCAATTATCTAAAATGCTATCAAATTGAGGCGACTTTTAAGCATCTGACTCTTGATTTTGGCTCAGGTTATGATCTCATGGTTTGTGAGTTCAAACCCTACGTCATGTTTTGTGCTGACAGGGTGGAGCCTGCTTGGGATTCTCTATCTCTCCCTCTCTCTCTCTGCCCCTCCCCTGCTCATGCACACTCTCTCTCTCAAAAACAAAGTAACCTTTTTTTTTTTTTTAATGTTTATTTAGTTTTTGAGAGAGACAGACAGAGTATGAGTGGTGGAGGGGCAGAGAGAGGGGGAGACACAGAATCGGAAGCAGGCTCCAGGCTCTGAGCTGTCAGCACAGAGCCCAACGCAGGGCTCCAACTCACAGACCCGGAGATCATAACCTGAGCCGAAGTCGGATGCTCAACTGACTGAGCCACCCAGGCACCCAACAAAATAACTTTAAAAAAATAATAATAATAAAATGTTATCAAATTAACTTAAGGAGATTATTATTCCTTTCTACTCATAAAACCAGTTTTCAAAAAAGACAATTTTCAAGTAAGAACTTACCCAAACAACTTTTCTGCAGTGGCTCTGGAGATTGTTTGGACAGGTATATTCGGCAATCCTGATGACTGCGATGGTGGAAACTGAGTATGATTGAAAGAAGGGAATCCAGGTGTATATGGGTCACCTGTTCCCAGATGGGCCTAGTTAAACAAAAAAGTAATGTGCTCTGTCAGACATTTATTCAAGAAATCCTTAGAAGATTCAGACTCAGTATGAGGGTATAGCCTACATTTAGTTTAGCAACTCAAACCATGAAGGTCTGAGTGGCTCTAAAATATGTGACTCTTGTTTTTATATGGCAACGGCATATGCCAAACCTCAGTTCAAGACACTATTGAAAAGGTAATGTTAGCAATAATAACTAGGTCTCAAAGTCCCATAATCCATTTTCTTGTTACTGCTAAGACCCTCCCAGAAAAAAAAAAAAAAAAAAAAAAAAAAAAAAAAAAAAAAAAAAAAAAGAGTATTTAATAAGGAAGGCATGTTACACTTCTACTAATGCAGATGGAATCCAGCAACAATTTGTAGAACCCAAAAACCCATTTACGTAAGAAATAAGAACTCACATGTCCAAAGAATGGAATCTCTGCATTAGTAATGGGAAATTTAGCCTGGTCCATGTATATCAAGACACCAATTGCATTGAAGCTTTCAGCATTTGCAACCTAAAGAAAAACATGTAAAGGTCAGAAGTGAAGATGTAATCACAAAGTTAGAAGAACAGTGTTGGGCTTTATGCTAAGACAAAAGGTTACAGAGGACTGCACTGAAACTCCCAAATGTTGCAAATAGCTTACATGTTAAGAAAAAATACTTCCCTTAACTAACTCATTAAGAGAGTTTCAAAGATAAGAGAAATAATAAAAACCCATCTAACACAACCACTGTCTTTTAGTATGTTCCATTCTAGGCCCTTATTACGTAGGTTTGACTTTCAATTTTGTTTTTCAAAAAAGTTATATATATATATTCCATATATACATAAAATTTGGTTATATAGAACTTAACAAAGCACCTTAATTTAACAATGATTTAGCAATTCTATGTAACAACAGAATATTGTTATTTTAAATTTAAACTGCTTTCACTGAAGCATTTCTGATTACCTCATTGTCACCGAAAGACAATGACTACAGAATACTCCAAGTGGCTATGCCATAGTTCTGGAAGTATCCTACAGTTTAGATAATTAGAACTTATTTGATTTGTTGAATACTTTAATAAATTCAAGTTTAGGGGTGCCTAGGTGGCTCAGTAAGTTAAGCGTCCCACTTCGACTCAGGTCATAATCTCCTAGTCCGTGAGTTCGAGCCCCGCACTGGGCTCTGTGCTGACAGCTTAGAGCCTGGAGCCGGCGTCTGATTCTGTGTCTCCCTCTCTCTCTCTGCTCCTCCCTGCTTGAGCTCTGTCTCTCTTTCTCTCAAAATTAAATAAACATTAAAAAATAAGTAAATATAAAATAAATTCAAGTATATTATTAAGTATGAGAGTTTAAGACTGATGGTTTCCAGAATGTGAAAAAAAAATAATCAATGATACCACTTAAAGGAAGAATAGTATGATACCAGTGTATTTAACAACTTATACTCACCTTTTCAGCAAAAGTGATTTTCCCTGCTCTAACAATCACTAAAGATCCATTCACAGGAGAGTTTAAATTCTCAAAGTCTTTTTTAGTGCCAAAATTAGCATGGACCAGTCTACCCTAGAATAAAAACATGAGATTTAATGAGCATTACGGTATTAAAACAGCCATAGAGTCTGAGAGAGGATAGTTTTACAGATCAAACCCAATAGAGAAAACAGAGATAAAAGGAGGCCAAAGCCTAAAAGGATGTAAGAATTCTAGTCAAACTAGTCAGTTATTAGGAGTGAATCAAGACTCTGGCCTCCTATAGTCACATCTTGCATCATCACATGCTGCCTTGAATCTAATTTGCATTGCTCTTGACATTTAATCTCTTTTACATTGCTTCCAATATTGTGTGGGGAGAGAAAGTCTAACAGGATATGATAAACAAAGAGACATATATCAATATAAATACTGTAGGCTAGCCCTGGCTGCACCAATTACATAAAGTTCCTAACACTTGAATGCTAGATAATTGAGGACATACATAAAAATAGGTCTTAACGGAAAGTTCTGATAAGAAATCTGTATGAAAATTGTTAAACACTATCTATCACAATAAAGTGTCTTGCATAGATCAATTTTTAGATGTTTATAAAAGCTGTCTCATAATATTCCTAAACTATTAATAGAGCTATATAAACTGATCCTGACAACCAAATAACCTAAATATAGAAAGCTTGCAGGTGAACTAAAACCTTCAATGTTTCTGACAGAACAGTGTACCCACCTCCAAACCTCTAGGTTATAGGTAGTCAGGGAAAGTGATATAGCACAGGTAAAACTTCATCTGGCTTGAAAGGCATCCAATAAATTGACCCCTGACATACTAACATTTGTTTTTTAACACCTGAAAAACCTAGGTAGATCTATCAACTGTTTTTTAAATTTCTGCAGTAGTTTGGCCATATTTGCCTAAATTAAAGATTCAAGCTAAGACTGGACTCCAGCCAAGATGGTTACTTATATTATATCTGTCCCCACATAAAGTGGATCATTTTTTTATTAAAAAAAAAAATTTTTTTTTTAACATTTTTATTATTTATTTTTGAGACAGGGAGAGACACAGCATGAACAGGGGAGGGTCAGAGAGAGGGAGACACAGAATCTGAAACAGGCTCCAGGCTCTGAGCTGTCAGCACAGAGCCCGACGCAGGGCTCGAACTCACAGACCGTGAGATCATGACCTGAGCCGAAGTCGGCCACTTAACCGACTGAGCCACCCAGGCGCCCCCATAAAGTGGAATCTTGATACACGCATTCGCTCAACAAACACCATCTGTCAGGCACTGTCCAAGGCTCTATGACACAGCAGTAAATGAAGCCAACCTCTAGCCCTGCATGTAGCTTTCATTCTAGTGTGGAAACAAATGAGTAATGTCAGGGGTGTTAAGTACCAGTAAGAAAAATAAAGCGGATAAAGGGAAGTGATTGGAGGAGGGCCATTTTTAACAAGATAATCAAGGAAGACTTCCCTAAGGAGGTAACACTGGAAAAGACACTTGCACAAAAGGAGGGAACAGGCCATATTGGTAGTCAGGGGAAGAGTGGGCCCGCAGAAGGAAAGGGAGTTTTATAAAAGCCTTGAGGTGGAAGCATGCCTGCATTTGAGTGGTTTAGGAACACCGGGGAGGTTGGAGTGGCCGGCAGAGTGCAAGAGGAAGAGAGCAGTAGGATTACTTAGAGCCTTGCCGTCCTGAAAGAAGACCTAGGATTTTACTTTCACTGTGGCATAGGATGGCTGAGAATAAGAGTATCTCACGATCAGTTACATTTTAAAAAATAAATTTATACCAAAATTCCTAAGAAAGGTAACGACAATGAGTTTCTGAGATCTTCAACAGGGAAGACCATCTCATGCACCGTTTCGCCTTACTTACAGTAACTGTCGCTGCTTTACTGTATGCCACATAGCCCTCTGGACTCTCCACCAGGTATACCATGCCACTGTTCGTGCCCACTATGGTCACTGAGTTTGAAGCACTGGCAAAAAAAGATTAAGTTAAAATGAAGCTGAAGCTAAGGACAGCCTTGGGAAAAAAATGGCTTTAGTACATTTAGCATCTGATTTGCATTATTTATTCTGAAAGTCTTTGCTGTATTAGCACACCTGAAAATAGCTACTTCTAGAAAATAAGTTTACCATCTTTCAACATACCTGCCTTTGACCTGAACCTTAACAAAATGTTCATCATGCCAGGCTTTGCTAAGTTGAAGCTCACGGAATCGGTTCTCAATGAAAAAGGCAAGGCTTTCATCTTTTTGAGATCCAGCCTCACGAGGGAAATATGAATTTTCATTCAGCTGCCTAGAGGAAAAAAAGTCACTGTTATATGAACTAAAATTTGTTTATTTTTTTTTTTTCAACGTCTATTTATTTTTGGGACAGAGAGAGACAGAGCATGAACGGGGGAGGGGCAGAGAGAGAGGGAGACACAGAATCGGAAACAGGCTCCAGGCTCTGAGCCATCAGCCCAGAGCCCGACGCGGGGCTCGAACTCACGGACAGCGAGATCGTGACCTGGCTGAAGTCGGACGCTTAACCGACTGCGCCACCCAGGCGCCCCACATGAACTAAAATTTAATTTAAAATAAACAATGAACTCAAATATCAAGAAAATTGTTTTAAAATAACTCAATACTATTCATCATAGCTAAGTTAACTATGACCCCAAATTTCAAGGTTGACTAGAGACAAACTTAGAAGAAAAAAAACTATGCCCAATGTTTAAAGGAATTTATGACTTCAGCTTTATCCAACCTCTGAATCCAATGTATAGTACTCCATCAAGAGCCCCATCTTAACACATATATGTGCTTAGGGTAATTTTAGGGGAAATGAGTAAGCAAAATCAAAGTATTACTGTTGGTGAACTCAAGATGTACAGCTTTAATTTTCACCTTTGAAGCAAAACTACTCCTTGTTCTGATCTCCTATGTCTCACTGTAAATATATATACATCATATTAGTTATTTGATTTTTGTTTGGTAGACTACACTCTTACGTTATCCATAATGCCTGGTATACGGTATATACAAAAGTATTCATTAGATGAAGTAAAAATGCCAAAATTCCTCATCTAAGACTAAGAGAATCATTGTACCACTGAAACTACTGGAAGCCAGCTAATAGGTAAACGACGAATACGTTCTTTACACAGGGTTATGTATGTGTCTAAGGAAGGTCTTCAAAATCGAAGGACAGAAACCTTAAGGACACTTCTAAGGCTATATGGATTAATGAGAACCAGAAGAAATCACGAATACTAGAGACATGATACATCTCTATATCAAGTCGGGCAGTCAAGTTAGTCCTGATCTAAAGAATAAAAAAGGCTACTGATGCCCTTGTTGATGGTAGCAAAGCTCAGCGTGCCTTACAAGGGGTTGAGATGAAAATCAAAGCACAGAAAGTCTGACAGCAGGCAACAAGCTTAAAAGACCAGATGACAAAAAGATCAAAGACCTCTGAATTTTTTAAAGAAAAAGGAGTGTCCTCACAAAAATTTTTTCCCCATCCAACAAGTTTGAATTCTTTACTAATTCTTTACCCTCCAGCTAAACACGGGAAGTCTCCCCTACTGTAAGAAGTCTTTCCTCCAGACTGTCATGTTTGTTTTGTTTCACTGCTCTGAATAATCAGTATTTGTTAGGGACTGAGATTAAATTTGTGAAGTAGCTCAAGTTTACCTGATGGTGCTGGTGAACTCTGTGTTACTCAGTTTCTCTGACAGCATTGTTTTGAGGTCCGACCAAAATAAGTGAGAAGGTGCTTCAGGAAAGTACTCTTCTGTTTCTGAAGGTTCAGTTCCCTCTACCTCCAGAGACTCTGTTCCTGCTGGTCTCTCACATTCAGACTTTGCTTCTACACGTTTACAATAGCCCAAGTAGCCAATCATAAATCCTATGGATAAAAAGTTTCAGAACTGACAATTTATTCCTATAGGAACTGTTAATATTTTCAGCTAAGCCTTGAAAATACTGGCTTTAATCAAATTGTAAGCAGTAGGAAAGTAAATAATGAATCTCAATTTTTTTATATTTTAAACCATTCATTCTAATAAATCATACAGTTGACTCTTGAACGATGCAGGGGTTAGGGGTGTATACCCCCACACAGTAGAAAATCTGCATGTAACTTTTGACTCTCCAAAAACGTTAACTACTAATAACCTACAGTTGACTGGAAGCCTTATGGTAACATAAAGAGTTGATTAACACATATTTGTATGTTATATATGTTATGTGCCATATTCTTACAATATCTGTCTTTTTCTTATCTTTTTCAGTATTTCTACACTACACAGTTGGTGTGCAAGTTTTTCAAATTGTCACAAATCTCCAAAAACTTTTCCAATATATTTATTGAGGGGCACCTGGGTGGCTCAGTCAGTCAAGCGTCCGACTCTTGGTTTCATCTCAGGTCATGATCTCACGGTTCGTGGGTTCAAGCCCTCCATCTGGCTCTGCGCTGGCAGTGCAGAGCCTGCTTGGGATTCTCTCTCTCCTCTCTCTGCCCTGCCCCCCACTCACTCTCGCTCTCTCTCAAAATAAATTAAATATATACATACGTATTTTAAAAAACCTGCATAGAAGTGGACCCACACAGTTCAAGTCCATGTTGTTCAAGAGTCAACTTTATAGTAACTTTAAATACTTGCCTTTTAATTGTGTTGAAGTTTATTTATTTAAGTAATCTCTATACCCAACCTGGGGCTTGAACTCTTGGCCCCAAGATCAAGAGTCACATGCTCTACTGACTGAGCCAGTGAGGTGCCCCTAAATAGTTACCTTTTTAAAATATAGGTAACTTTTCTTCCCAGAAGCCTTCTTTAAATCCTTAGGCCAAGCTTCTATGCTACAGATATCCTGTGTGTATTTCTAGTATAACATTTGCACATTACAATGAAATGATTCATGTGTCTCTCTTCTTCCACCAGGCCAAACTCAAAGGCAGGCATAGAATCTTAGTCATTGTTGTTGTATTCCTAGTGCCTAGCATAATGGCACATAAAAGGGCACAAAATAAATGTTTGCTTGGCTGAATTAACAGATTTCCTGGAGTCACTCCCAAGGAACATTTAAGTTTTGAATAGCCACTCTTACCAATCAAGAAAAACAGGATTATAGCGATAGTCCCATAGCAGATAAATCCATTAAACCTTTTTGGTTTCGTGACACTGGCACCATTATCCCTCATGTTATTGTCAACATTTTCTTCTTCATCTGCAGCTAGTTTCATCTCCACATGACTGTTGTCACCATCTACTTGCCGAGCCAGACTAAACCGGGTATAGGACAATGGTTCTCCACCAAACTGAGATTTGAAGAAAAGAGAGAAAGAAAGCATCATGAAAGAGAAGAAAGGGAAGAGGAACATTTACCAAAAGTTTGGTTAGGTACTATACTTAGTAGTGGACCATTACTATGACTTGCTATATATTCTTAAGGAAAAAGAAGTTCCTCTTTCAAAGCAACATTCTTCCTGATACCTAGTTCTGTCAATGGTAGATGGGGGCTAGATCACACACTGGCCTTTTTCATCTCATTCAGCCTTTTCATTCAGGGTTTCTGTTACATATGTCTACTAACATAGGTATACATTTTGATCAGCTTTCTTTGTTCATCTTATCAATGTGGCTGTCCCCCTCCTACCATACTTGAAATACCCTGTATTTTCTTACAAGATTTCCCATAGTGAACTCCACACAAGACTGAAGATACCCTTTGTGGGAGGAGTTACATCGCCAAGCCACCACTTCAACATAAAAAAATACTTTATGATAGCTTTGAATATTACTTCACGCTTATTGGGTGAGAGCCATTCTTCTATATTTCATATTCTCACAAACTGGTGACAAGGAATAATAAAACTTAAAATATCTTACCAAGGTAGAGAATGCTGATCTGGCTTGATCCATCATTCTGAGCTGCCACACAAAAGGACCTAGTATTAAAACAGAAATTTAATACAAAATAGATACCATTGTACCAGTTATAAGAGGTTTTCATTACCACGCTAAATTATTATATATCAAGTTTACTTTTAAATATATTATCACATTCCCAGAAAGGGTCTTTAATAAAGACATTTAGTTCATAGGAAAACTAAATTTAATATAATCCTTGATTAGATCCTGAGTTGAGGTGGGGTGGAGGTGAGAACAACTACAAAGGATATTATTGGGAAAAATAAGAAATCTGAATACAGACTACATAGTGGATAACAGTATTGTATCAGATTAGATCTGGAGAGTGTGATATATTCGATTTGATTATATTAGATTTGGAGAGTGTGACGATTTATTCTGTTTTTGGAAAAGAATGCCCTTGTTCTTAGGAGATTAATGCTGAAGAATTTAAGAATTTAGTATTGGGGCACCTGGCTGGCTCCATTGGAAGAGCATGTAACTCTTGATCTCAGGGTCATGAGTTCAAGCCATATGTTGGGTGTAGAGATTACTAAAAAAAAAAAAAATTGGAAAACTTTAAAAAAAAAAAAAAAGGATGAAGTATCCTAACACTTATAACTTACTTTCAAATAGTTTAGTTTAAAAAAAATGGTCTGAAAAAAAAGGGGGTCTAAGAGGGGCACCTAGAGGCACGTAGGTGGCTCAGTCGGTTAAACATCCCACTCTGGATTTCATGAGTTTGAGCCCCACACTGGGTTCTGCACTCATGGTGCAAGCCTGCTTGGGATTCTCCCTCTCTGTCCCTCCCCTGCTCACTTCCTCTCTCAAAATAGACTAAAAATAAATTAATAAATTACTTTAAAAGCGTATACGAAATTGGGGCGCCTGGGTGGCTCAGTCGGTTAAACGTCCGACATCGGCTCAGGTCATGATCTCACAGTTTGCGAGTTCGAGCCCCACATTGGGCTCTGTGCTGACAGCTCAGAGCCTGAAGCCTGCTTCGGATTCTGTGTCTCCTTCTCTCTCCGCCCCTGCCCCTAATCATGCTT